CCCCCTTTAGAATCGCTGTGCTAGCAAAAGAATATGCTTTTAATCATCAGAACGTTTTAAATGGATTCACGTTATTAATTGTACTATATTTAATCAACTACTCACTTCGTAAACTATATAAAATTGTCAGAAATATCTATTTAAACACATTCATTCAACACATTCATTGTCATGCAGTGCATATAGACCGCAAGCCTAAAATGAATAAGATTGTTTACGAATTTAAACGCACAGTGACGTGACACGGTTTAGGACGGTTGCAAACATTTTGCATATGTTTAATATTAAAGCTATTTGAATAGCAAAGTACCAGCTCGCTCACTGCAGTTCAGGTAAGGTATACGGCGTACAGTTAGTTTCTGAAGGTGTCAACAGCTAAGAAGTCGGCCATTAAACTGAAAATACTATTTAAACAGCTGTAAACAAATTATATAATGAAAAACAGTTTAATGCTTCATGTAAAATGACATTTATTTAACATTTCGTTCCAACAAAATAAAGCTAGTTTTAGATTATAGAGCGCTACAGTAACAATTTCTATCTTCAGCGTCATGCATTTAGTTTACAAATTATATAAATATGTCCGCATGCTTATGGCTGACTCTTAAGCATTACGGCTTGTTTTTAAGGATCAGCAACACTTGTCGTATGGTGTATCCTGTATCCTTGGTTGAGAGAAGAGACCCTGAATCCGTGGGCTTTTCTTTGGCTGCCAGCTATAGTCCATACCCTCAGTCTATACCTACATATAGACACTGTATAAGGTCAAAAGTGATTTAAAACGCCTTGCATTGCTTCTCTTAATCAGAAATTGTTACAATGGGGTTCTATAATCATAAAATTAAATACAATGTGTTGGCTTGAAGATGATTTACTGTGGAAGCCATAATTCAACACGAAACCTTAAACATATAGCAGAGGTTTCCAAAATAACCCCAAGAAGCAGATGTATTTCATTGCATCCGATAAATACCAGCGGTATGTGCATCACTATATGACACCTAATTCTTTGTCACCTTGGGACATTTAGACTACTAAATGGGCCAATCAGAGACAGAAACTGTGATGCGATGTGACCAATCATAGGCAAGAAGGTGGAGCAGAGGGATGGAACTCCAACCAAAGTTCTCTCACAGCTAATCCAGTGAAACCCAGTGCGGGACCGAAGCCTCAAGTGGCGGCCGCTGGACCAGAAACAGGCGAAATAAGAAAAATACAATTTAACTGGATTGTACGACAGCAGCAAGCGTGAACGGCATTTCGATTTAATATGATTTCCTGTATCTAAAACGCATTTGGTTCTATTTGCATTGCATTTGATTTAGTCTCACAGTCAACTGAGTATATTCATTGTTTGGAAGCTTTTTCATCGATGTTACAAATGACGGAGGAGAACGACAAATCTCTTGCTGACCATCCATGCAGTCCTGCCGGGACCACAAGTTCCATGTCTCAAGGTGACTCCGATTCAGATTCCCCCCTGTCCCCAGCAGGATCCGACGGGCACGGCACTCAACTGGTGTCCGACTTGGGCAAGAAGATGGAAGGCGTGGAAGATGACCGCTTTCCAGCCTGCATCCGAGATGCCGTGTCGCAGGTCCTCAAGGGATACGACTGGTCGCTGGTCCAGATGCCAGCAAGGGGCAACGGATCGCTGAAGAACAAACCGCACGTCAAGAGACCGATGAACGCCTTCATGGTGTGGGCACAGGCTGCGCGCCGGAAATTAGCGGACCAATACCCCCATCTCCATAACGCAGAACTGAGCAAAACTTTGGGCAGACTGTGGCGGTAAGTCCGTTGGACCGGCATCAGTTTTTCATATCTGAAAATGACGCGTATCAAAAGATTTCTTCAGACTTCATTGATCATTATAAGTAGAACTGTATAACTCTGGAGATGCTGAAGTAATGGAACCTTATTTCCCAAGCGTGTTGTGATTTTTAAACAGCCTATTTTGGAAGCTTGTCACTTCACCAAACACTAATTTTCAGTATGTTGTTTGTTCACAATAATCTCTTTGCAAATGGGTCCACGTTGACATGCGCTTTCATAGTGCTATCTTCGCATTTATTGGCAATCGCCTATTCATCGTTAAAATACCTTACCATGTCCGTAAACCTGTATTCGTCTGGCATGAAGGACATCGCTAATAACGTAGATTTATGTTCATACTGAAGCAGTTTATGCGATTCGAATTCGGCAAGTCATCGCGCAGATTCCTCACATATATCCCCTAAGGCATTAAAGCTCATCTTCATCACAGACGGATATTTTCCCCGTTTTCCCGTTGGCCTGCCTCGCTTTATTGACTTAAAATGATGTTAATGAAAATTATGTTTTAACAACCCCACGCAGCTTGCTGTCGGAGAGTGAGAAAAGACCCTTTGTGGATGAGGCGGAAAGGCTGAGGGTCCAGCATAAGAAAGATCACCCGGACTACAAGTACCAGCCACGCCGGCGGAAAAGCGTAAAGCCGGGCCAGAGCGATTCGGACTCCGGAGCTGAGCTCAACCATCACCCGGTGGGTCAGATTTACAAAGCTGAGCCCGGAATGGGCGGCTTGGCGGGCCTGGGAGACAGACACACCCACCAGGATCATGCAGGTGAGAGGCATGCTTTGTTGGTAAAATACCACATGAATGCACCATGGTAAGTGGACAATTAATACACTGTGCTCGTTTAAGTATTGAGATATTTCTTTTCATCACAAAGGTCAAGCTCATGGTCCACCGACCCCCCCCACCACCCCTAAAACAGATTTGCAGTACGCGGCGAAGCACGACCTCAAAGCCGAGGGCCGGCGCCTTCTGGACGGCGGTCGACAAAACATCGACTTCAGCAACGTGGACATCTCAGAGCTCAGCACCGAGGTCATCAGCAACATGGAGACCTTCGACGTCCACGAGTTCGATCAGTACCTACCCGTCAACGGTCATGCGCCACCTCCCCCCTCGGGTGCCCTGCCCCCCGACCAGGTTCATGGGCAAAGTCCATCTGGGGGCGGCTCCTACGGCGCGTCCTACGGTCAGCCCAACGGTTCGGCGTGGAGCCAAAAGGGCACCGCGCCCTCCTCGCCCTCCAGCGACGGCGATTCGGCTCAGCAGCGACCGCACATCAAAACGGAGCAGCTGAGTCCCAGTCACTACAACGACCGTACCCACGGCTCGCCGTCCCACTCCGACTACGGCTCCTACAGCGCTCCGGCTTGTGTATCATCATCATCATCATCATCATCTGCGGCCGCTTCCTACTCCAGCTCCCCGTGTGACTACACGGACCTGCAGAGCCCCGGTTATTACAACCCGTATTCCGGGTACCCCTCCAGTATTTACCAGTACCCGTACTTCCATTCCTCTCGCCGGCCCTATGCGACCCCCATCCTAAACAGCCTGTCAATCCCTCCTTCTCACAGTCCCACCACCAATTGGGAGCAGCCGGTGTACACCACCCTTACGAGGCCGTGATCCGTCAGCCAAGAGCAGATTTCGGGGGCCATGTCCACCGGGACTCCGTTGTACTTCTGCACTAACCGAGGACGATAATTATATTCAACAGAACATACTTAAGTGCCTGCTGATTTTTATGGGTCTGTGAGAATCCGGTTGTCCCTTGAAGAAAACGCCCGTTTGATACATTTTCCTACTTGTTTAATGGAATTTTCCGCTTTAAAAACGAAGACTGAATGCTTAACTCCTCTGCGAGAACACTCTGCATTTCATATGCATACATGTACAAACCCACACCCGAGAGCCCTCCGGGGGGGCTCCATTTGATTTGACAATACAGAACAATGCCGAAAACGCCGCTGTTCCAGTCCTGACTATGATTTCTGACTATCAGGACATATTCTGAAATACAGAGACAAATATCGTTATTTCCAAGTCACCCCAAAGCAGCCACGACCGCACCCCTTGACCAGTCTTACAGTTTCAGCAATTTGATGGACCCCGCCCAGTTTTACCGAAACTGTGGATGAGAGAAATGTAATCTAATTTCAGTTTAATTTTTGTTAATTAAATGCGTATTTATGTTTATGACACTTATGGTTTGTTAATTAAATGGTTACGTATCGTGTGTTTTGGTAAGAGGATTGTAATAAGAGAATGGAAATTGTATTAGAGTAAGAAGCAATTTTTTGCGGTACATGATCCTTTCTTTAAAAACTATTAAAAATGCAGACTAACGCCAGACTTCCAGCAAAATTAAATGCAAAAACAACCAAACCAAAATGGCTGAACGAAAAGCCATTGCATTCAACAGGTGCTTAACACCCTGCATTAAT